TAAACACTAAATTGAAATAAAACAATACCAAATAATTTGAGTATAGTACTTTAATTGAATTAATTAATGCTTTTCTCAAATAACATAGAAGATCACCAAGTGATATTGAGCTTGCATTTATTTTTATACATTTGATTATGATTATAAAGCATGAGGATGACTATGGACTTAGACCTTAGAAAATTAGGTCATGGTTAGTTAAATTTATTACTCATAGTATTTATTTTAAAATAAAGTTTGCGTACCCTACCTTATCTCTATTTCCTTTGGGTTGTAAAATTATTTTCTCACCTAACTCCCATCGAATGTAACTCGAAGTTTCTTGATTATAAAATATAATTTGTTACATCAAAGTGTAAACCCAGGGTCAAATAGAAAAATTTTATAACTTGAAGATGGAGATCCAAAGGCACCATGGAGATTCAAGGAGATTACAAGCAAAGCTTAAAGACGATGTTTGTGTAAATCCCCTAGGAATTTGATGCATTCATTTCCTTAATGGCTCCAGGAAATTAAAATTAGTAAAGTCCATAATCATCCTAGTAGTTAGCATGAGATAGATTTACATTTTAGTGTATATATATGATATAAATGAAATGCGATAACTGCGATGCATGTCAACAGTGCCATATCAATGGGACCTTAATTAATGAATTAATAAATAAAATCCCTCATTAAAATATTGTGCAAAAATGTTACCTTCCACCATATAACAAGATTACTAGAATACTCTTTTAATCAGAGGCTCGTTGAGTCACTCAAGGCCAAACTTTTACACGAGTACATTTGAGTTATTGTTGGGTCTTACTCAACTATTACCATGTTGTTTAGATGTGTCACATATGACCGCATAGTATTAGAGGCATAGTTAGAGAAAATGTATACAATACATTTCGATAAAGACTTGTCGCCTAACTGATCTAGGATTTGTATAAGATACAATTAGTAAGCTAAGTTATCTATCTAATTAGTTTCATTTTGGCTTATTGAGTCACTCAAGGTCATGGTGGAATGAAAAGGGTCCTAACTCAACAAGAAGTTTAAAGGTTAAATTTCTCGAAATAGTAGAGAAGGGCTATTATTTTGATAAGATGTTGAGAATAATCATATAAGATTTTAAAACTTTTGTCTTATGATTATATAATTTGCGTTAATGACTAATAATCATATATGTTGACTTATATAGGACATAAATCTATCATGGCGAATATTTTGTCAGTTAGAAGTATACTTGATGCAAACAAGTTGACAAGTCCAAATTTCATTGACTGGTTTTGTAATATTAAGATTGTCTTGAAACAAGAGAAAAAGGCTTATGTCTTTGATGGTCATGTTCCCGAGAAACCTAGTGATGATACTACAAATGAGAAAAATGAGGCCTATAGAGTTTATATGGATGATCTTGATCAAGCCAATCAAGCCACAAGTGTGATGTTGGCTATTATGGCTCTAGACCTTCAAAAGCAACATGAAGCTATGAATGCTTTGGATATTATCCTAAACCTTAGAGAAATGTTCGATAAGGAAAATTGCACAAAGAGATTCGATATTTCAAGAGAATTGTTTCGATGTAAGATGTTTGCACCACAAGAAAACAGATATTTTTAGACGAAAAAAATTGAAAAATTTTCATTGGAAATTTTTAATGGATTTCCAACGGAATTCTAACAGAAATTTTTGTGATTTTTTTGATAGATTTTCGACGGATTTCCAACGAAAATATTCTAATGGAATATTTAGAAATCTGTTAGAGATTTTCTTAGTGCAAAAAAAATAAAATTCTCCCACCAAATTTTCTGACAAAATTTATAATGGATTTTCGTTGGAATTTTCCAACAGAAAATTATCTATTAGAAATCCATTTGAAAGTTTAAGGACAAAAAAATTTTAAAGTCTGCTAAAGTTTCCAATGGAATTTTCCATTGGAAAAAGCTATTACCAATGGAAATTTTCCAACCGAACATTCCATTGGAAAATTCTATTGGTAACACTATTTTTGAAAAATTTTTTACTTAAAATATTTTAAAATTTTTATAAATTTTATTAATCCTTATAACATATTAATAAAAGCAAATATATACATATTGAAGTTTATAATATTTAAAAATTTAAATATGTTTTCCTTTGCTTTTTTTTTTATATTTTTGAAAACTTTATTGAATCATAAATTACAAGTTAATAGTTCCAAATTCATTAATTTTATAGCATTAAAAAATTATTAAAAAGAACATAATAAATTTTTTAATTTTATAAAAATAGATGATAAGATCTAATAATAAATTAAACAAAAAATAATAATACTTTATATACGTATTAATATTAATTAGCTAATATATATAAATTAAGAAGATAGATATATAATAAACTTATTAATATAATATATTTAAAATATATTAGTTTATTATATGTACGTATACAAATTAGAATAATAGCCATGGAATATATATCTATATATATATATAAACCTGTATTATTCACAAAAATAAAAATATGACTATTGTATTATATGAAATAAAGTTATATCTTTAATTGATATAACTTTATAGTTATATATATATATTGTGTGTGTGTATTATGTATGTTATATGTATATGAGATATTAAAATATCCTACATATATATATTAATATGTTTTATATTTAAGCTTATAGTAAATTTTATTTATATGATTACAGTTATTAATTTTATAAGTTATTATCATAGTTTTTATAAAATTATATTGACAATTAATTATACAATCTTTGTAATATATATCAAATTATAACATATAATTTGTATCATTAATATATATATAAATATATTAAGTAATATAGCATTATGCTTTACATTGATTAAATTCATATAAGATCATTTTAATATTACTTTGAGTACTTCATGCTTTACGATTAGTTTCATATTATAATTTTAATAATTGAAAGCATGAGTACTATTTATAAATAAATAAATACACATATAACACCGTATATAAGGTATACAAAAATAATAATGCTTGATGTATATTAATATTAGTTAATATAAATTTAGAAGAATTGAATGTAAGCTTAATTAATAATATATACTTAAAATATATTAGTTTTTTATATGTACATATACAAATCATAATCAGAGTAATTTAATATTAACTATATATTTGTTTATTTATAAATCTATATTTATATGAAATTATAAGTTACATATTTTAAATGGTACAACTTATATGTTAATATGTTTTTTTATAAATTATGTCATTAATTTCGTATATATATATAAAAGCAATATATATAAATGTATACTATTAAAATTAACATATTATGTACTTATTATAAAAAAGTAATTAATATTTTACAAAGTAATAAATTTAGTTAGCAATTAATAAACAATATATTATAATTAAATAACAAAATAATATTGATTTTAGTTTAATATAAATATATTAAAGTTTTATTATTATTATTATTAATTATTCATTTATTATATTATAGCCAAACATTTATGTTTATCATCGGAAGGGTTCTTGTTGGAATTTTGGGATTCACGGGCTTTATGGGGTTTGTCTTATATTTTCTTGTCATGGTAATTACTTCGATTGGACTCATAGCCAAGGCAAAGTTCTAAATTCATGCATATTTTGATAGCTAGAACCGGATTATACTTGATGGCTTCATGGGTGGGCTTATGTCATTCGTGCTATTCTGGACATATGCCTATGACATTGTGCATATATTTTGAAGAAATATCTACTACATCTCGCCCAGAAGAGAAGTTGGCTCATTGCCTCAATTGCTGCCTATGACATAATCTTGTTATCCTTGTAATTCGCAAGTTGATTCTAATAGTTTTGTATCAAACCTTCAACCATTACAAGGTTTACCAGTTGATTTCCTTTCTATTACTTTTACCATTTAAAGACTATATCTAGCTTTTTTTTTTCTTTTCGAGAGAAGATCTCTAAGAGAATGAAAGAAAGAATTTTGAACTAAAAAAAATTCATTTATTAATAAAATTTAAAATATTTAAATTTGTGTTACTATAAAGACTTGAACTTGTGTCTAGATGAAAAATAAACTAAACTTTAACCAACTCTACGACCCATTCAACTAATTTTAAAATTTCCCAACTTAGTCTAAAAAAAAAAACCAAACCCATATGACTCAAATACTAATCCCTAACCATGTGTGTGGCTCACTTTCCCCAAATCTCTTAACTTTGTTTTCCCTTCTTGTGTTGAGACTAGAAGCTGAAACCCATTTGCTGGCTCACTCATCATTTTCCCAAAATTTTTTGTTTCTCTACCTTTGCTGTAAATCTCCCTTTCTTGTGCTATTTTGAAGGATCTTTGTTTTACTTCTTGCCAATATTTGCACTTCCTCTGTATAGATGCTCAACAAAGTCATCAAATAGAAGGTGATGGTCCACAAGCCCCAAGATCAACTTTGCCAATTGGTGCAGATCCTATTGCTAACAGTTTAAGAGTAACGCCTGTGAATATTGACAAGGATTTACTGCATATTGTTCTTGCCATTTCATATGCGAAAGAGCCTGACCAAATTTTGTCAAGGTTAGTTGTTGCTTCTTGAATCTCTTACCAAATCTGTAGTCATCGAAGTAACTAGGAAGAACAAGCGAAGTTATAAATCTATTTCATGTAGGAGATTGTGTCTTGATTCTCTGACTCCCTTTGCATGCAGTTTCCATCTCTCATTCTCTTTTTTCTATTAAAATCTTCAATTACTCTTATTTATTAAGTTGAGGTTAGATCAGCCAAAAGAGGCACAAGAAATTTTAGGTTCTAGGGTTTTTTATTATCTTCTCATTTATTTGATCTTTCTTTTTCTCTCTCTATGATAATTTTCACTCTTGAAAATCTTAGGTTTAATTGTTTTATTTTTCTTTTTTTATTGATTGTATTTGTGAGCTTTATGTGCAGATCTTGGGTTTGTACTTTTTAAGGAACCTAGGGAAAAGGAAAAAGAAAGAATAGTTACTGAATTATTTTGGTTTGTGCATTTTGATTGGCAATTTTGTTAGATCTCATTTTTTGAGTTTTGAAATTTTTGATTGAGAAGAGTTTGGTTGTTTGATTGGTATGGTGGCAGGGCGAGTTGATTTTCCAAGGAAAATGGTTTGGAAGTTGAATCAAGGTCTTGCTCATGCTGCTCTCGATAAGAGTGGATATAATTACCTATATAATGGGAAGAATTTGGTTGCCCAGAATAAGAATGGGTACAACTTTGGTCCTAAGCACAAAATCTAAAGTTCTAGCTTTGTTTATGTGTAGCTCTAACATCTATTATACTCTATTTATGTGTAGCACACAACTGGGTTATACATGTAGGAGCTTTACACATTCAAAAACCACCAACAACGACTAAAAGAGAAATAATAAAGGTAACCTCAAAAAAAATTGAAGAAAAAAACTTTGGTTGCTAGTAATTATTTCTTGTATGCATTGATAAAGACAACAACATAGCCAAATAAAGAAACAAACAAAGAATCACATTTGAATAGTTGCTCAAAAAGAGGAAAGCACTAGTGTAATTTAATAAAGCATTGCTTAAATTACAAAAATAGTGTAGATGATATTTAAGTCATTTAATAAAATTTATTAATGGCGTTTAAGATTTTTGGTGAATTATAATCAAAACAAAAATATAAAACAATATTTTTAAGAAAAAATATTCAAAATGAAACTGTTTCTCTCTCTTTTCTTTTACCTTTGAAATGGTAGTACTTTTTTTAAATTTATTTTTATTATATTAGTTATGTGCTGTACACTACATGTGTAAACCAACACATACATGTACAATTAAAAAGTCAGAATTATATTAGTTATGTTTTTTGACTCTACTCTTTTTCATTTCTTTTCTTGCTTAGTTCCTCAAAATCCACACATCTTTTTTTTCCTGTTGAAACAGCTGCTTCTTAGTTTGAGCTGTATGCAATCATTGGTGCTTTGAATCTCAACTTCAAAGAAAAAGCTAGGTTAGTTCAGTTCAAGGATTCGATTTAGATTCCCCTTTTTATTATTGAAACTCAATCATTTTACTATTTGGTTTCTATTTAAATTTGAGTTTTGGCTTTTTATTATCTTGTATCTTCTTGGCTTGTTTTTAATTTTGTGTTGCAAAATTATATGGAATAGTTATTAATATGTTATGAAATTGGAATGATACTTAACACTAGGTATTTATGTGAAATCATTTTTAATATCTTGACATGTTATTATTTGTTTTAATGTATCCTTAAAATGTTTAACTTAGTTTTTCATAATGGAATGTAGTTGTTAACAATTTTTATTATAAACAAGAATGGAAATTACTCTTGACTGTTATATTATATGACATTTAGGATTATAAAATGACAGGTGATCGATCTTGGATGTACCATCGCTTAATTTCTAATAGATTCATTAGAGATGAATTTATAAATGGAGAATAAGATTATATGCCCTTGCTCTCGATGTAGTAACAACAAGTTTCTAAATTTCGATAAGGTGGCAGAGTACATCTTTAAAAAGAGTTTTACTAGTGCTTACAGATTATGGAGTTTACATGGGGAACATGATTTTGGACAATCATCAAGAAGTAGAGGTAGAGTTGAGCCATATGCTAAAAATGGGGAACATGGGGAATATGGGGAACATACATATGAAGAGGAAATAGAAAATTCATATACTAGAATGGTTAGGGATGCTATGGGTCCAAAAGTTACTTTCAATTATAGTCATGATAATGAGTCAAGGTTTTTGGATGAAGATCCAAATTAAAATGCAACTAGCTTGTACTTTTTGTTAAGTAATACAAAGGAACCTTTGTAGTCAGGTTGCACAAAGCACACAACGTTTTCAGCTGTGTCGTAACTTTTAAATGTTAAGTCTGAGTTTAATTTAAGTGAATAATGTTTTGATCGGCTGTTGGAGATAATAAAGAATATGTTGCCATCAGATGAAACTTTACCTATTGGCTTCTATATAATGAAAAAAAAAAGGTAGCAAAACTTAGACTTAGATATATCAAAATTCATATTTGCAAAAATAATTGCATCTTATTTTATGAGGAAATTGTTGATTTGGAGCATTGTATGATATGTGGGCATCCTTGATATAAACTGAGGAAATCAAGTGTGAAAAGGTACAAGAAAATACTTTACAAAATTTTACGTTATTTGTCACTTATACTAAAGCTTCAAAGGCTTTATATGTTAGGTAAAACTGCTGAACATATGACGTGGCATGCGCAAAACCAAAGTCATGATGGAGTCCTTAGACACCTTGTTGATGGTGAGGCTTTACAACGCTTCAATCGCACACATGAGTTATTTGTAATGGAACCTCAAAATGTCAGACTAGGGTTATGTGTTGACGGTTTTAATCCTTTTGGACTAACTGCGAAACCTTATTCTATTTGGCCAGTAATGCTCTATGTGTGCATTTTAACCCCATTGATATGTATGAAACAACAATATATATTTCTTAATATGATCATTCTGGGGAAGAAAAATTTAAGCCAAAGCATAGATGTTTTCTTGAGGCCTTTGAT